CCCACCTCAGGAAGGTGTTGTAATGCCCAATATACAGCCCTGTCTGGCAGCATCCCTCAATATGCAGGTGAGAATGGCCAGTGCCATGAATTGGGTCCCTGCAACATATTGTAGGCTTTTATCTGGAAATTACTCACTGGAGGAGTGTGAGAAGACAGAGAGCATCTATTCAGTTCAAATTCAGTCAAAGCATTTGGATTTTACTTGGTTCAAATTCTACATTAAGAAGGGGGAAAAAAAAGGCAGAAAAAGCAGAGAGATAGTAGAAAAAGAAAAAAACCCTACAAATACATTAATTATACTATCCTAAATCAAGACCTGATGTGCTGTTGAAGCAACACATGTGTTTCAAAAACCAATTTGTCAGATTGGAAATATTTTCCCATAAACTACTGAGAAGCACTTGGTACTTCTCTTCAATGACAGTTGCACATCAACAGCAACATTTTAGTCCCTGTCCAAGCAGTATAGAAAAGAAACACCAAACTAACAAAACAACCACCCCATGACTCCAATCAAAACAAACAAAGAAAAAAAGTGGGTTGCAGATTAGCTCTCCATCTACATAGGAGACAATTTTGGGATTTTCCACTATGCCATAACTCTAAACAACTGATCTATTTTTTAATTCAGCATTGCAAAATACACACACAAAAGTCTCAGTAATTTACAGCTGCAAAAAGGATTTAAGGGAGATCTTTACACAGTTCAAACTCTCCAGTCACTACTGTTTCTTTCAGCATTTTGAGTGTTTTTCCTTATGAAAACAAACTCTGAAAAGAGAAAAAACCCAAACAGATTAAATGACTAAGAAGTCAACTCAAGGTAATGTACATATTTTCACTGAAAAGCACCTGCTGCAGGGCATCTGGTTGCAAGGAGGGCATTGATGCATCCTTGCATTCAGAAGTAGCTCCCACCATGGCCCCAGCAAGGATCAGCACTGAGGCAGGGAAAAAGTAGGCCTGATGTAGCTTTTCAAATTGATGCTGCTTGTGGAGAGGAACAAACAGCTCGTCTCCAACTGAGGGGCTGACTCTCCTCATTTATTCATGGCCAGCCCCCTGCCTGGATGGAAATAAAAATGTTTCAAAGATGACTGTGTGGGGGAGCTGGAGGACAGCTTGGAGGCACACTGAGGTTAGCACATTAATTTTTTATCTCTGGAGGCTGGGTATCCAATTATGCTTAGAGTACACAAACAACTTTGGCTGGTCTCTCCAGTAGAGATTTATCCACATAATAAAATCTGTGATGGAACTGGGCACAACAGGCTGATGCCATGAAATAATGTACAGAGGTGGTTTTTCAGGGCAGATGCTTAAGCTAGCAGAAGAGCAGGAGGGCACAGGAATGCATCCTCCTTAACTACATGCATTGCACAATGGATCAACCTGCACTCAGCACAATGTACTTCATTTAGGGTTGTCATTGGCCAAAGTGCTTATGGGCGTAAGATCCTGTTCAGTTGCTCTTTCTGCACAGCCACCTGCAATCAACATTTTACACAGCAAAATGTCACTGAGAACTCTTCTCCTTTAAAGGAAAGGAAGTTTTTCTCCGTGTAGATACACTATCCTATTCTCCCAGGAATTAAGAAAGAGCATTTATACTAGTACACTCATTCACAGAGACATTTCAATAGATGGAAGTCTAATTCCTATATCAGAAGTGCCTCAAAATTTGTGAGCACCAGCTGCCCCTAGAGCTGGCCTGTACCCATGGAAAGAGATGGAATAAAACAGCAGGTGTTTTGTGGCAGGCCTGGGCTCACAAATCTCACGGTCTCAGTGCCAACATGTAGAGGAAAAGCCAGCAGAGAAGAAGTCTGAAAATGGTGTGGGATCATTTATTTTTTCAGTGGAGTTAAGGAAATGGGAAGTTGACTTTTTAAAGGGTTTTCTATAATTTCCTTTTCACAGTTCAATACTCAGGTAAAAAAATCAGAGAGTAAATCAGAAATAAATGTTTGTATAGGCAGAGGCAAGACTAGACACTGAGGACACATTTATTTGTGTCAAAGGGCTAGATAAAGCATAAAAAGCAAGCCACTAAAGCTCAAACAAAACACAGGCTAGGGTGTTGACTGGTGAACTATCTTTCATGTTGCAACAGGTAATCTATATGTGAGAAAAAACAGAAGGAGAGAGAGATGTAAAGAAATGTAAACAGACAAACCTTCTACACAGTCAAGGACAGTCAGATGTGCCGAGGAGGTGAGATGTGGGACTTGGGCCAGTCCCAGTTCTTTGATGCACACCTATTCAATGGGTCTCAGTTTTAGGTAGGTTGCTCCTATCTACATCTCTTTTCCAATCTCTGGATAATTTTCTGGCCTACTCAAATTCATCTGTGCATGAAATAGAGGGGACTGAATGTGCAGAAAGACAAGAGGCTTTCAGGTCTTGATCTGGCACCAGTTAGGGCATCAGTAGTTGAATCCTGCAGAAGCCCTGCTCCCTTGTGCATCACCAGGGCTGCTGTTACTGCAGGTTCTGCAAGGAGTGGAAGCTTCAGAGGAGACACGGGTACAAAGGAAGGAAGTTCATGCTGCAGCCGCCTGCCTGAACTTTACTGACCTAGTGCTCACCTCCCACGGCTCAGCGAATTCCAAATGGCCGGTTTGATTTGCCTTGCCTTTTTTAAATCAGGCTGCTCATATCTCTGACACACTGCTCAGCAAATAACCAGATCCTACTCTACACATATCTCTGGTCCTCCTGCTCAGTGGGTTGCAGATTAGCTGTTTGGATTAACATCTCCTTGCCTTCCCTCCCTCCCTCCCCCCCACCTACCCCCACCCCCAAGCCCATGCAGTGAGGACTCTTGAAGCTCGAGACCTATGATGCTGCAGACCTGTCAAATCTAATTCATAACACATGCCTAGCAGTTCTTAGGGGAGAGGAAGGATCTGATGCTCTGGGTCCCCACCATCCCTCTGTACAAAGGGACCATTTAATGACTGCACATTAGCAACGTGGACAATTAGCATTCACATGGAAGATAAATGGCAGCATAAATTAAATATTGCCAAGTGGAAGAGCAAAGATGCAGGATCTGAGCTCAAGGCTCTAAACAAACAAACAGGCAAAAAAGGAACAAACAGCCACTGTGACAGCTCAGCCATTTGGGACGGTTACCTTCCAGCATCTGGGACTTTCCCCAAGGCTGATCTGCACATTTGCATGGCTGTTGCCCATAGCTCACTGTCTCCTGGCTGGTTATTCTTTCCACTCAGGAATCCGGGCATCAGAGAGGTTTACCCCAATGGTTCTAAATTTCTGCCTGCTTGTGGATCTGTGCATCAGCAGCTTCCCTTTGCCACATGCTCTGGGGGAACACAAACCCAAGCAGCTATCATGCAACTCTTTCCCACAGTGTAGTATGCACCTTTTTTATCATGGGTCAAAGTCAGTTGCTCCTAACCTTACCACAGGTCTTCTAGCTCTTCTTGTTAATTTCTATCATTTCCTAAGCACCAGACACAAGGACTGAGACCCCTTAGCATCTATGTCAAGCTGAATTCAGGATATGGGACTCTGCCTTTCTTTTTTTGGGCATCTCTTGCATGACCATTATCAATATTAACTTAATACAGATTTACAATATTCCTCTCAGGTATGTAACTATTACTGACTACTGCACAGGAAAAAAACCAATCAACCAACCAACCAATCAAAAAAGCCCCAAAACGGATGTAAATTCTAAGAAAACAAAAGCTACTGGGTGAACACTGACATTCCCCTGCCTGCCCAAGCAGTCACTCTTAGTGCATTGACAGCTCAAGTTTATCAACAGCTAGAGGAGTCAAAATCACTTTTACTGCAAATCTACCAAACATGTGAATAACTAAAAGGTAGTGCATAAAAGTGACAGAAGCGTAGAGCTTGCCAAATGGGAACACACTAAACAGTCCTTCAAGCTCAGACAGTGGCTAGTAGCAGATGCTTTGGAGGAAGGAAACCCCCTCCCACTCTTCCCTAAGGACAATTATCAATTATACTGCTTAGAAAGAAAATGTTTTCCGACTTCCATATTTCCTGCAGTTTTTAAGGTATTAGAAAGTGTTTTCCTGCATATTTTCCCTATAAGCATTTTATTGCTTTATTACTGGGAACTAAAATAACACAGGTCATATGCTGATCCAAAATAACTTTTTGAAAGTGAACAAAGCTATCTACACAAATCCCAAGGTCACAGCAAACATCACATAATATGTAAAAGTGAGGAACAGGGGATTAGTGACTTGCAAAAATCAGTAATAGAACATAGTATCCTTGACTTCCTGTTCTGTGCCTAAGGAGCATAGAAGGGACAGTCTAACAGGGTGATGGACCTTATGCTCACACTGAGCATATGTGATTCATCACATAAAAATTCAGACCACTTAGATCTCCTTCAGCGCTGTACCACTGTGGGAAATTGAGGCACATTCTCCTTTCACGTTCCTGCTCTCCTCTTTGCAGTACTGATGTGTTTTCATAGCTTTTGTCAAACTATAACTAAGGAGCAGCTTTTGGCAAAGTTAAGGGTAATCTGTTTATGCATCAGGTGAAGGTATAAGGGAGAAAGGTACTGTTATTTTCATTCTGAAAAACTGAGACATTGACAAATATCTCTTATTTAAAGGCAAAACAAAGGCAGCCCCCTGAAACTACTGGATGTGTATTTCTTTGGCATCCTTACTAAGAGGCACTGGGAGGCTGCTTGATGATGGGCAGGTTGGGCATCTCTTCTTTTCCCCCCTCTCCTTGCCACCTCCTCCCCACAGGAGCAGTAATGGAAAAGTGACTTGCTGCAGAGATAATGCTGGGTTTGAAATGAATTTCTGACTAGCTGAGCCAGCACCCGTGCGAGCTGTGGCTGATTAGCTCCAAGCATCCAGGTCCCAATCACTCACAACTGAGCTAGGCAATAACACCAGCCTCCCCAGGGCAAAGACAGGGTGGAGGTAACACCTCTGAAAAGGATCTCAAAGGCAAAGGGAAAATCCTACTCACGTTTGTGGTTTTCATTTCGGTGGACAGGGGAAGAGCGGGTCTCCTGCTCACGGGCTTCATCACCCTCTTCACTGGCGAGGTGGGTGTGAGCATAGTGGTAGCTCAGCCCAGGCCTGTTCTTGTAACGCTTGCCACAGACTGGAGGGAAAAGAGATATGAGGGAGGGGAAGAGAGAATGGAAACATCAGTATGATCTACAACCACAGCAGCATCCTCTCTAATAATGCTCCCTTTCCCCTGAGAACAGCACCATGCACTCCATGCATCTGCCCAAAATCCTTCCAGCTGGCACTGGTGAAAGGTGACGAGGCAGCCCTACAGCTGCAGGTCTCCAAACAAGCTTTCTTCCCACCATGCTGCCAGCAGTCCTTCTCACAGGCCTAGGCAAATGCATTCAGTCCCTGCAGATCACAGACCCTAATCCTCTCTGCTAAGATTATTAACAAGACTGCACATAAAATTAAATGAAATGCCAGTTCCAGTGGTGGTGCTGCACAGTGCACAGCAATAGGAACAAGACTGAGAAGAAACAACATTATTTTCTTCGTTACTGATCTCGGAAAAAAGGAAACAGCTGGGATTTTTTTAAAATACTTTCTCTAAAAGGTTAATAAATAGCTTTATTCACAGATTCCCAGTTAAGACAAGGAGATGGAAATAATCCACAGTTTCTTGCTAAAAAAAACATGTGGCAGTGATACTTATTTGCCCAGGTAAACTCCATATTCAGCATCCCAATGAACAATACAATATGTGACAGAGAATCCTGCTTCTGAACTTTCATTTATTTTAGGATTAAGTCAACAGATATGAAGGACAGAGTCAAACAACTTGGGGTGATGAAAGGTCTACACTTTCACAGGGAGCTTAGCAAGGGCAGGCAACCTCATAGGATTCATTACATATGAATTGATTTTCTATAGAGTTTTTAATTCATGTTATTGTCTCAAAAATTTATCACTTTTCATCTTCAAAGCATTCTTTGAATGTTCATTTTCTTTTATACAGCTATTTTGTCTACCAAATACAAATACTGCCATTTTTAAAGACTAGAAAACAAAGACAAAAAGCTTAGTGCCCTTCTTTCAAGTTTTTCCTCCCAGAGACATTTTCAGTCACTTTATTACCTTAATTAACCTCAAGGATTTCACACAGGAATAAATGTCATGTCCAGCAGTCTGTCCTGCACAGTGACCATCCACTCCTAAAAACTTAAGTCAGCCCCAATATGTATCCTGCAACATGTATAGATACTTACTTCCTCCAGACACCCAAGTCTGGGAATGTCAAATACTCCACAAATAAATTTTTAAAAAATTAAAAAAAAAAACAAAAAAAACAAAAACAAAAAAAAAAAAAAAAAAACCAAACAAACCACACAACGACCACCCTCATCCCGTTTATTCATTTACATATAAATAAAGCTTAAAATTTTATTCCTTTCTGCTACTACTCAGAAAACACCAACTGATGTTCCGCCTTTTGGAACCAATTATAAAAAATTGTAAATAAAAGCTTATTACAATAATATATTTCATTTTTAATCTCTTGTAACTGATTTACAAACTCCCTCAAGGAAAATGCTTTTTTTTTATTAGAAACATGTAAAACAAGCTCATGATATGTATGAGTGATCTGGAATATTGGATACTTTTTCCCAGTTTTCTTCATTGTGCAAGTTGATGATCACAGAATCATCATAACAAGACAGAAGTTTCTTTGAAGTGCAATATGTCCTGTCCTTAGTCACAGATTTTTTAAGTCTTTGAATGGCCTTGATTTAGAAATGAGACCTCCTGCAGGAGGGAAGAGGGAATATTGAGAGAAATAAAATACTCATATAGATATGCACATCCATTATTTGAAGCATCTGGCTTCATTTTTCATATGTAAACCTAACACAATTGCCAGACATTCTGAAGAACTAGACTGTTGTTAGATGCATGCTCTCCACAAAACATCAGTTCAGACTCCCTCTTCTAGTACCATCCTTGTTTTCTTCCAGTGCATTCTGGAGAGGGAAACTACTTCTCCTTCTCTGTGGTCCTGCAGGGCAAAGGACAAGCAGTGGAACAGATGCTGAACAAGAGTCAAAACAACATGATATCAGCAGTTCTGTATGACTTTCCCCATGTTTTGAATAGTGGAAAAGCATAACACTTAAGTAATTATCAACCCAGAAAGAGCTCACTGCTTAAATTCTTTTAGAATCATAACCTCCTCTAATTACATAAATGTTGCAGCTTTACTTAGAATGGAGAAAGAGATTTACATTTCTAGCTGATTGACCATCTGCTAGATGAGCTGGATAGGCTCATCAAGTATCCTACTCTATCCCACTTACTTTTATGTGTTTGAAGAAGAAAGTTTAAAAAATAATTCTATTTCTATGAATTACCAATACTGCTTAAAGACTTCTGCCAAATTATTTCCAGGACACTGTCAGGTGATCAACGTATAAAAGGAAACGCATTCCCTGCAGCAAGTCCCAAAAGGGTGGTGTTTACTTCATTCCTTACAGGATCCTGCAGGGATTTTAGGTATGGTGTTAAGGATGACACAGGAAATCAGATGGGTCTGCAGACTCATCCTTCTTCAGCAAAAAAATATCAGCTCACCAGGAAAAAACAATTATCAATATGAGCTGAGGCAGTAGTAATTCTGCAGCTGAGTCCTTTCCATTGTGAGGACTTGCAGGTGGTCTTCAAGAGTGACAGCAGTCTCAGAAACGCCTTGTGAGAAATTGATTTGGAGGACTTTATAACCAGAACTGAGGCAAATAAGTTTGGTTTACATTGTCCTAGCAGATCCTTTGTAGGACCAAAGATTTGCAGTTCCAGCAGCCTTTGTTCTTGGTCTAGATTTTTCCCGTTTTCAAATTCACTTTGTGTCATAAAAGAGTCCAAAGCAATGCCATGAATTGAAACTGTGGAGATTTCATGTTCCTCAAACAAATCAGACTTTTGCAGGGGGAAAAGGGTCATGATATCAGTGAGGCAAAAGAACCATTGGCTTCAATGAGACTTTGCTAGAATGAAAGCTAAGTCAAAACTTCATGGTTTCTCCAACAGATTGAATCTTCTTGAATTCACCCAAATCTCTTATTTTTCAGATAAGAGCACATTTTACTAATATATTGTACCACTGTGCTAAGAAGTAGTTTCTATAAAAGGGTGATCATTAATAAACACTTAGCTCTTATATAACTCTTCCCACTGCAGACTGGCTTTTCAAACATTAATTAATCTTCCTCCACATTCCTGAGTGGGAAATACTATTCTCATTTCAGTTATGAAAAAAGAGAACCACAGAGGGGCTGAGTTGCCCACACAGTGATCTTTTTTCATTACCAGGACTGGAATCCATGAGTTACAGCATCCACACTAGTGCTTTACAGCACATCTTTCTCATTCTTAGAGCTGACAAAAGCATAATGAGAACTGGTTCTCCCAGTCTGAAATGCATGCTGTTGATTAGTTTTTAACACTATGCAGCTCACACATAGCAAGTGAGAGTGTGCCTTTCATAAACTTTGTCCAGTGGCCTTCCTTTCAGCAGCTTTGACTTTTTTATCTTCAATTTCCCTTGCTGGATAGGCTCATCATCCTTGCATGTGGTAGATTTCATCCTGAATCTCAACACTGGGAAGTTGACTTGATCTTTAATTAGGTGGCCAAGCTCAATAAAAACAGTGGGAGTTTGTAGAACATAACCCACTCCAATTCCTCCTGCATTCAAAGGATATATTTTTGCTATGAGCTGATGTGAATGCTGCCTTAGGAACAAGCTGGGTAAATAAGTAGTAATACAGCAGTGCAGACCAAATGTCACAAATGGGGAAGACGGAGAGTTTTTTTTTATGAGGCCACCAAACAGTCTCCTATGATGAACCTTACTTTCCTTCAAATTTGAAGACTGATATTAAGATGTTACACAACTGCATTATGGGGGGGAACAGTGTAATTGCAAGCATTGAGTGTTTCACAAAAGAGAGGTCTCTTCTATGTTCTGGACTGTAGCACCCTGCAATTCTTTGGATAAGCAAATTCTCACTCAGTTTATATTTCTTGATGATTAATATTCATATAAAATACTTCCCCTGTTAAAAGGGGGATTTGAAATCTATGACTTAAAAGACTTCCTCATCAAATATCTAATGGCTGTGTTGCTGTCATTTTGAAATAGTTACACATTTGGTCCTTGGCAGCCTGTGAGCTGTGTTCCAGCCAGCTCTCCACATACATTTTGCACAATCTGTCACCAGTATGAGACAGAAGGAAACAATCCATGTTTTCAGTGGAAACAGGAAACTGGAGGAGTTCTGGAGGGGTTTTTTTTTTTGGTCATTGAATTTTGTCCCCCTCATTGTCTTTCTTTGCTTTTCTCTGTTGCCTCCTGTTCCTTGTTCACATCTGCGCTGTGTCAAATACTATATCTTGAGTTAACTTCTGGCAGACAGTCATTCCTCAAAGTTATCTTCCTGTCCTACCATTCACTCCACTCAAAAAAAAAAAAAAAAAAAAAAAAAAAAAAAAAAAAAAAAAAAAGTGTCAAACAACCCCCCTGTCCTTGTTTTGCACTGGTTTGGTAATATATTCTCCCCTGTTACAGTTGTGTACAAATTCTGGCACATCTAGAGATTTCAAGCTTTGTGAAAGCTTTTTGACCTCTACTGATGGAAAGACTTTACATTCATCCCTCTTTGACGAGCACTGTCACACAATACACCTGTAGTATAAGAGCAGCTATTTACTAACCCATTCCATGGAGAATTTTCTGCAGGTAGAATAGGGAGGTAAATAGCCCTTCTTTCACAGGAACAAGGACAAGCCCCAGAATCTAGCTGCTGTATTAAGATCACAGTAACTCTGAACCCCAGTTCAAACCCCAAAACATGCACAGCTCAACAATACAGCTGTGCACATTTCAATACCTGGGTTCGTGCCAGAGCAAAGGAGAAAACAAATATCCTACATGAGCAGAAAATGTTCAACTGCCAGAGTAAACTCTGTTCCGCTTTTACCATGTGCTCTATTCAACATCTATGTTATTCAGTATTTAATTTTTTTTAAATGTCCTTACCTATCTAATTTTGTCTTTTCTACCAATAATGTAGTCAATGGATGCCAAGAATACCAGGTATGGTGGGAGAGTTGTTTGTTGAGTTTATCTGAACAAGCATCTTTTTCTAGATCTTACTGCTTATCTATTTAGGGATTCACCAGAAAGGATAATACCAGGAAATGATTACTGAATAACCTGAATAACTGAATAATACTGATGACTTATGTCAGCCATCTCTGTGCCTCTCAGGGATACATAACAGAGCAAGTTGCTTAAATCCAGTTTCTAAAAGTAATTGTAAGTACAAGTAAATCTATCAACCACTCATCTTCAGAAATACTTTTATCCTCAGAACAGCACGTTAAACTTTGTTCTGGCCACTACTACTTTAAAAAGGCCCTTTGGAGTTTTTCCACATGAAAGAAGCAAGCTTAGTAGGGAGAGCTGAAGAAAACACAGCTGAAAGAAGTCCCAGTAACTGTTTACAGACATAGAAGACATTGTGATCCCTTGAGAACAGTACAAGGACTGCTAGTCTTGGACTTCAGCGGAGAGAATTTGGTAAATAACTAGAGAAACCTTGAAATTAAGTTCTTGAGGAAAGAATCAACTTCTACAAAATACTACAAGATCAGTGTCTCTGGGTACATACAATCTTGCGTTAGCCACTGATCCATCAGAGATCCTAGGAAGGTTTAATTCAATGCTCATTTTGCACAAGGAATGGATCTGAATGTACAGTTCAGTCTCAGAAGGACTACAAAAAAAGGATACAATACAAATATAAGTTGCTATGCTAAAGTAGGAGTTTATATGGGAATAAAACTAAAAGGAGATGAGGACATATTGGTAAAAGGAAAAGAAATAATTACTTTTAGAGGTGGGCAAGGGAAATCTTCCATAGAGAAAACAAAGGTGGAAGTCTGTACATAGTCCCATGTCTCCATGGGACCTTGAGAATGAAAGCATAAAAGTGAGGAGGGGCAACAGGAAAGTTAATTACTTGCAGAGATTCAGCACAGACTAACTTCTCTGGCTAAAGGAAGTAGACATTTGGAATCATGGAACTCAAGTGCTACAACTGATTGCAACTTTTAAACCAGAATACAAATTTCTAGATACAAATTCAGAGATGGTTTTACTTTTGAAAAAGTAGTACGTAGTATATAATAAACACAATTAAAATAGTAGAAGGATTTTTAAGAAGACTGCTCAGTAGGAACAATGATTCCCCAGCTAAATATGTGACTGTGAAATAACATGAATTCTTATTAAACATGTAGGTATTAATTAATTCATTCACTCTGTCCCTCCTTTAAAAATCACATGCCCTGTTCATCAGGAGCAGTGGTGGTGGTTTACCTTCCTCTTGCTTGACATCAGAGGCTTTGCTTTGTTTTTCAAACTCTACTTTCCACTCTTCTTTGAGGCACCTGCTGCCGCTCTTTGCCACGTGCTCAAGATACTTTTGGGACTGCTAAGCCATTTGGCTATGTTACCATATGCAGTTTATACCCATCTCCCACCAGGCTTGCCTGCCACTGTTGTTATTGAAGCTATCCCAAGGCAGCTCAAAGCACAGCACTATCCAGTGCAATTGGCTGAAAATCTGACCCCCAAGTTTTCTACTTGGTGATGTCATGAAACAATGCATTTAATGATTATCCTAGCAATTTTATTGATGCTTTGATCAAATATTTTTTTCTGAACTTCTACTGCAGTATATGCTCAATAAAAACATCTGAAGTATTTCAGAGTATTTCATTCCACAAAACAGGCATCCAACCACCTCTTCTTAAAAACACAGGAGGACAAAATATTTTGAGCTTTGAAAACCTTTACCACATAGAAATTGCATGTTTCCAGGCAGCTTTAATATTGGGACCAAGTTTTATACTGATGTAGGTCTGAATGCCTCTTACAGAAAAAGGCAGGTCTTTTCAGAGATAACATTGCTATTTTCCAGCACAAGGGGCAGTGCCACTTGGCATCGCTCTTGCATCATTTTACTGACACACAGCCTAGTTTTTTTCTAAAACCCTTTTATAATTGATGAGATCTGTTGATATATTCTTGTTTACCATAAATATGAATGTGTAAATATGATAAAAGGGCAAAGCAGTTTTTGACCACAAATCTTTTTTGTGCCCATGCAGTTTTATAAGAAAATTAATTTGGATTAGCTGTGTTTATGCTTTCTTCTCTCTGGTCATTTTCAAAACTCGAATATCAGAATACTTGCAGAAAAAGCAACCTGGAGGCAAATTAAATGAACTACAGAAAAAGCAAACTGTTGGCCCATTAAGCTAATTATTTATACCAATAATGCGATTGAGGGAATAATGCTTTCCCAAACAGGAAATGCATACACTGTTTCACCTTCATGTTTCCATGTAAAACAAACTTATCTACCCAAAACATCTGCACAAGGAGTACTGAAAACCAATTTCTAACCTACCACAATTAGATTGAGTTATATCTATAAAAATATTCATCACATAATTTCAAAGAAAAAAATTAATCCAAGAATCCACCCAAGCAGGATAACAGGCCAATTACTCATAATTAATGGTATGTCATGTTTGTATAGAAATTTAACAAGGGCAGGATATTCTTCAGAATGATGACATTGTAACTGAGACAGTTCTTCCCTTCTGCTTTACACTCAGATAAAAGAGTTCTGCTGTCATATAACCCTTTTCTCAGCTAGCTACAGTGGAAAATGAGAAGTCACTGTGCAAAGTCTGGAGTCCAAAATTCCTTATGACTCACCTGTAACTGTAAGTTTCCTAAAAGTGAAAAGTGTCAGCCAAATGAAATAGGAAAAGTTTATATTTCCAACACTAAAGACGAAATTTATGCTCCAAAATGTAAGCCAAATTGTAAGGCAAATTCTGTCAATACAACAATGTATGAGAGTCTTGACTTCAGGCCAGATTTCTTCTGCCTGCTTTGATATCTTCAATGTTAATCTACTCTGTGCAAATCACTGCTATGCATATTGGGAGCTCTCGGTAAAATCCAAAAGCAGTGCAAGACCAGACAATATAGAGTCATCATGTTCAAAATGACCACCACTGACAAGTGTCCTTGGATTTAGAAGGATGTTCCAGAAAAGAGATAAAGAAAGATATGCATATACCAGCAAAGGAAACCCATGGATTTCAGCAAGATACATCTTATGCTCTCGGAGGTCTTAGAAGACACATTTTAGTTCTTCCAGTGCATTAGGACTGCTATTTAACCACAGCATAGGTCTTCTGACTCTTCATAACTTTAAGGGCTCTTCCTCCTTGACCATGTTTTTATCATCTGTCATGTCCCATTCATATGCAAGTCTTTCCATTTCTGGGCACATACAGTCACCTGGTCTCACCATACAAGAATATGATTTCATCACATGGAATATAGCTCTTATTCACCATGCAAGCTCCTTATTTCCTCACGTTTTTAAAAAATCAGCAGAAAATACCCCCAAAGATTGATAGCAAGAGTTATTCTTTTAAGGCTGGTAATGTTGCAAGACAGGCAAATAATAGAAAAGGGGGTTCTAGTTGTCCTCAAAACCAGCTGATTTGGATCACAGAAGTGAAGATCTGCTATTCTCCTACTTCTATTAACTTTTTTTAGGTTATTTTCTTACAGGCTAGAAGGCACCTGGTAGCACAAATTACAATTGGATGTACATTCTAGAGTAAGCCTTAAGATGGGATATCTCAAAAATATGTGGGTAAGATAAGTGCCCTTCACAGAAATGAAGCAAAAAAGAATATCAAAAGAAGGAAGGCATCAAGGACTAGACTGTAAAAAAAAAACCCAAACCATTGTGTAACAAATATTAGACTCCTCACTCATACTGGGACTCTGGTACCCTCCTTCAGTGTTGATGCTGGGCTCTAGTATAAGTTTTCCATTCAGACAATGCCTTGCTTCACCTGCTGTCCAACTGCAAGATGCCAAACAGCAGGACTGTATTCAAGGGAATATGTACCAAAACAAAGCATTCAAGATGTTATTTTGTTTCTTAGAAGGGCTCAGCTTTTGATGATGCCACAAGACATCTGGTGAGGGATAAGACTTCAGAATTTAGTCCAGTGAGATTTTAAAAGGACTGAAGGGAAGAGAATCACTGAATATATCAAGAGACACAACAAGGGTGAAGTACCTTTGTCGGAGATTTTTGAGTTATGCTTTTGTTTGTAACTATCTGAAACAGAGAAAGAAATAGAGGGTGAAACTTACATGGGTGAAAAGAATACAAAAGGCAGAGAAGCCAGAAAAAGAGAGAGAGAAAGAAAAGAGATGATTTATTAAAGGGCAAAGGAAAGTGGAGTCTTGCCGAGAACTTAATTTTATTTCCTTCATGCAAAAACACCAAGAGCATCAGCAGCAGGTGGCAAACATGCAAGTCAGAGAGCAGCAGAATCTTTTGCTGTAATATATGAAGCCCTGAGTGCACTGAGCTGGTAGGACCAGGCTGGAAGCAGAATAAGCTGTCTGGTTGCTACTTACTGTCACAAACATAGGGTTTGTCATGATCATCTTGGGAGGCAGCATCATTCCGTCTCCTGCCACCTCCAGATCCCCGAGCCTGCAAGGACAAGAGGAATGTTAGCATTCTTCCATCACCCCCCAGGTCTCCTTGCACCCCACACCCTCCTATGAAAGATGTGCAGTATAAACTAAACAAATCCTCAGCTTCCATACAGGTTTTTCAAAGTGGTCTTGACCCTCCATCTCCTAAGATGTGCTCTATGTTAATGGACCTTGTAAAGCAATGGAGATCCTCTCCACAGATAGCTCAAGCTGTTCATCCATAGCAGTAGGTCACTGCCAGCACATATTCAGTCAAGTATCATCACACATCCATTTCTGAAGATGTTCAAATACCTTCTGAACTGAATATGAACGAATGAATAGATGAACAGGTGTTGAAGGATATATACAAACATTAAATCAGCCAGAAAAAGGCCACAAATAAAAGAGAGGTCGAGTTATTTCCTTCAGTATTTTCAAAGGGGCATTGTTTATGTTGCTATGTTTTGTTTTCTAACTGAAAAGCAGTGTTTTAAAATAGCCTTCTAGGACAAAGATACCATGGCTAATTATAAAATGGAGCTTTGGTCAGTTAGTGGAAAATATTAGATAATGTGGCTACCTGCAATAACAGAAATTACCCAGAAATATCTCTCTGCAGTTCTCTGTTTCTAAAATGGACCATACTGGCAGCTATGGAAACTGAAAAACTTTGTTTCTTCACAGCACAGACTGCTCTGTCTTGAGCTCCAGGGGTGAGAGTGGAATTCAGCATCAAAACTACTCAATCCTGACCCTTCTCAGCTGAGATGCCAACAAGGAAACAGCTCATATCTGTCCAATGCTGCAATTGTGATGTGAAACTGGGAACTGAGCCAAGGCCTTCAATTCTTTCATGTTCACTAATGTACAGTCTGTAAATGACAATAATTTTAGACTTGATCTTTGTTTGAGGAAGTGATCACAGGTGGATGGCTAAATAGCTCTTTATTAATTCTGCTAACTACTCTATTCCTGGAAAAAAATGACAATCACTTCTGCTGCTTCTCTTATTAAGCTGTTCATATTTCTCACTCTACACAAGGCCACCTGACTCAAATCCTGCAAGCCTTTTCCTGTGAAAATAAGAAAAGGACAGAGCTTTGTTAGGTAAAGCTGAAGAAGGTGTGGAAATCCTGAGAAAATTTGCACCCAGCCATAAAGGGACCATAGAAACTCCATCCCTCTTCTATGAGCTTGGAACAGAACTAGCACTATTAGAACTGTATTCCACTGGATATCTAAAGAGAATAAGGAACAGTTTTACACTGGCCTGACAAAGTCTGTCAAAACAGGGATTTATAAAAACTTCACATATTATTTCCCTGGGATTGCTCAGGTCTAACTCTTAATACAGTCCCAAAGGAAAGACATGGATTTGAAGCTATCTGGATGGGGTAAATACTATTATGTATGACAAGGATAACTCTGCCTTCTGCAAAGACCTCTGTGCAGTCCAGCACACATGTGCAGAGCAAGATTTGTAAGGGTGAACTGAAAAGCAGTTTCACCCTAGAAATGGCCTCAGCAACAATTGTTTGGTGGAAGCTTCTTTACTGACCATATCATATAAAATCATCTTACTAGTCTGCACTATTTTCTTTCTGACTGCCAGCTCTTTAAACCCCCTCTGGGCAATGAAATCAATCCCAGGCTAGTTCTTTTCTTCCCTTACTACTGCTAAATGTGCTGCAAGCTGCATTTTAGTCCATGGCAGCTCCTCCACAACCCTCAACTCATCAGGGAGTCTTCACATAGACAAGTGATTTGTCCTTATAAATATTTCTGCTGGTAGCCAGATTAGGATGCAATTTCCCCATTTTACCAGCTGTGTTGGCTTTTCAGGGCTATGAAAAAGATGTAAAGTCTTATATTTGTCACTAGTCAGTAGCTCTGATTCTATTCACACTCTGGGAACATACCTGTTGAGTAAGAAGGTACTATTTTACATAGGTACATTTCAGAATATGATACTAATTTAGGATTTGTTACTCGGAATTTTGCTAGTCTTACAGTCAGCTGTTCCATTTCAAACTGTTCTCAACAGAAATGCTGGGGCACAGCATTCATGCACGGCATGACCACGTGTCATGACCACGTGTCGGATACACTTTTTCATGCAATGAACACAGAGGGGGAGATTTTTCAAGTCAATGACTTTCAATGGGACTTGGGCTCCTAAGTGTGCTTGGTGCCTTTGAAATTGTCCCATAGGATATCCAGCTGATGAGCAGACAATCTGTGCAGGTGCATCTGCGTACATCTCATATCTCCTAGAAAACTACCCTGCCACCTCTTACCACATTGCCCCTGTCCTGCAAAAACACTAAAAATATTTCTGTAGATCTACCTCTTCAACCTTCAGTGTCCTTCCTATGCCCCCATGATTTCATGGGCTAGCCCTGAGGGGACAGGAAACCAAGCAGCTGCCCCAGAGGCAATAAACTGAATGCCCCATGCTTGCTGTCTGTGCTCCAGGCTCTTGAATTCAGTCATCCATGGCTGCCTTTATTCTCCTGACAGGATGCAGCAAAGACTACAAGACTTGATGTGTGAGGCCTGGACCCATGGCCCAGCAACCTTGAAGCAGCCAGAGAGAGTAGCCAAAAAGACAGACGGAGAGTTCGGGATTAAAAATAAAATTATGCTGCAGGGAAAGGAAGGGGCATGTGCAATTTGGAAAGTCCAGAGCAATAGTTCTGTTGCATTAATCTGGCATTTATGCTGTTAGTCCTTCTCACTCCTCTGAATCCCCAAAGGTCACACTCCACAGGATCTTGTTTCCAATGCATGTCCTTCTCCACTTCTGCCATCTAAAAATACCCTAACCAAGTCCTTCCCAGAAACAAAGAGCAGCCTAGGTTTCATGTCACCTAATTTTAAATCCTTAGCCTCAATTCCCTATACTGAGTCAGGTTAGAAAAGGGCTGCCTTTAGGAAACTGGCAAAGCTCTTGTGACCAGATGCAATTCAGGCTTACCAGTTTTCAGCAGCTAGATAACCTGGCCCCAATTTTGAAATTCTAATTTCTACCACATTTTGCTTTGGTTATTGATGCCATCAAATAAAACTAAAATTTGCTTGAAATATGTGGCATTATTCAGATTTCTCTTTTTAGCTGAAAGAAGCCAGGGCACTAGCAGAGCAGGAGTTAGTTGCAAGAAAAAAGCAAGCAATCCTGATGCTCCTGTACTTAATAGGGGGCAAGTTCTAGGGCATAAAATAAAACATAAATGTATGCTTCAAAATGAATGGGACATCTAGTATGCTCCAACTCTTTCCTTACAGTAACAGAGAAAAAATTCTGTAACATTTTCCTGAACAGGGAAGCAAAACCTTGCATGTAACACTAACTTCAGAACTTTGTTTGTACAGGTCTGGGACATACGAATACACCAAATCCCCTTCTCCTGAGCAATATATCTCTTCTAGCTCTTCACTCCCTTTCACTCACCCTAACCAGTATGTGCAATTTACATGAGAGCAACTTATTAGAAAAGAGTTGTTAGCCTGGAATATTAGTTGATTGCTACAGTCAAGCTTATGTGCATGTATTGATTCTATCTCCTGGTTTTGGTTACTGGTTCACACAAATTTTCTGAAACTTACATTTTTCTGGAAAATTTTTTTCCAGGTGGGGGTCTTTGGCTAAGAAAGAAAGAAAGAAAGAAACTGGTTCAGGTGATTTTGAGAATAAGGAAGATGAAATATATACTTATCCAATTATTAAAGTGCTTTGATCTTATATTAAAGGACTTAAGCTCCAAAATAAAGAGGAGCAGAAAACTGAAACAACACAACAACCAAAGAAGAAACCAAAAGAGAGGGTCTGATGCATAAGTACATTGCAAGTATTCAATGTGCTTTCATGTCTCTTATTCAAAGCTATTATATTCTGCTCATTTGGCCAAAAATGTGGCCCTTCTTGCTTGACTTCTATAAACACATCAAAAGGTACATCTGGAGCTCCTGTGCCCCTGCAGCATCCACTGGAGCCAAAGAGAGATGAAAATGCTCAAAACTTCTGAGACTTGTGTTCACGTTTATTTAGATGCCTAGCTTATGGGCCCACAATTGAAAATGTTGATTCCAAGTTCAAAATGTTGGCCTCATTACTTAACTGGTACCCTGATGAATTGTGAAGACATCTTAGGTAAGAGAAGGGACACAGAGTCCCCTAAAGATAAAATATTTCCCTTTTCAAACAAATGGAAGATTTGCCATGGGCTCAAGAGAGCCAGTGTCAGCCACAAAATGCTACCCTGGAGAAAGCTGCAAAACTTATTAACACAGTTCAAGTTACTTTTATTAATATTTTTTTGGCTGTCATGACTGTATTTGCTGCTTTTCTGTAATTAGTAAAGGTTTTTTTAAGGAGCATTGTAATAGCAGGATGTCATCATAGTTATTACAGTTTACATTACAATTGTAAATACAATACTAAAATAAATTTCCCCCACATTTTTACTCTCAAAATAGTCCTTTTCTTTCACAGCAATTCACAAAAGTAAAGTGAAAAAATATTAAAAATCTATTAGATATGACTGAAAATTACCTATAGTGTTATCACTATCATATATTCATGAATAAATACTTTGCATACATAATACACATAAGAAATAAACACTAGAAAGCAGAGGTTTGCTTCCTTCCTTTCCATTCCAATAAACTCTCCACTTACCCGTCCTCTAGGCCTGTTCTTTCGTTTTGGAATATCTTCTTCCAAATCTTCTTCCTCGTTCACTTCATCTGCATTTTCATCATTTTCTAAAACCCTCTGTGGTTGAACAACAAACATGAATGGTTAGAGGAAAAAAGGAGGACACATACAACCAACTACTGCTCTTTACCACAGTGACTGTGGGTTATTACAGTTGATATAAAGCCAAATCAGATCCCAGTACCCCTGCTTCTCTCTACCAAAGCAAAATTTGCTCTCTTTTCCACCCTAAGATCTCCAGGGAATTCCTACTAAAAAACTACTACTGATATCAGTCATCTATTGTTAAAAGGTTCCTAAGAACAAATACTGGCAGCACTGAGCACCAATATTCCAAGACAACACAAATATTAGTATGCATAACTGCAGGCCCTGTCTGGGAATTTGTTTGCCTGGGTTTTTTATTTTCATTTGTTGCAATTTAAATTGTTTTGTTTTCTTCTAATGTTGAGAGTGCACTTCAGGCATACAAAACCAGTCATTTTCTCCTTGGTAGCTCACAATCTTCTTTCTTTACCAAAAATAGAGAAAATTCCCCATATATTCCAGAATGGATCTAGAAAGCCATGTTTTTTAGGGCCTGCACCACAGGTACAACTCTAATCTGGAAGCAGGAAGTTTGTTGCATGAGAATGCTGAGGAATTACAGGTCTCATTGAGGTTAACAGCACCAACAGCAATAATTTGTTCAGCTAATTATTTATTAGGAATAATATTCATCAGCTCACATAACTGTGAGATGCCTGGGCTAGGCAATTTCAATCTTTTAACTTGATCTTTTGAAATGCTACAGAACTAAATGCAGGCTGGCTGTCCTGCATGAAAACATGCACGAGTCAGACATCACATGGAAAAAGGCCAGACAAATCATCACAACACTAATGTGGGAAGAAGTCCCATTGAAATTCCCTCAACCCTTGGCATGTCTGCTAGAAATACAGAAATTGGCCCCAGCCACTCCTCCATTCATGGTGCTGTGCCATTTTGCAAGGGACTAGTCTGGAATCACTAACTTACCTTTGCCATGCCAACATTCATTTAAATTACAGCCACAATGCAGATTAAACTGATAGGAATGTGCTTCAGTCTTACTGTATTTGTCCCTTCTCTCTAATTTCTACTTAAAAACTATTTGAGAGCCAGCAAAGGGGGAACAGGAGCAAATCAGTTTCTTTCTCTCCTTTCTACATACCTCAGGCACCAATTTCTGAATTTGTTGGAAAGAATACAACAGAAATTTCACATTTCAAAAAGTCTGTATCTAGAAGACCAGCTACAAAATTTGTTCTTACTTTATCAAATAAATTTCTAAGACTAATACTGGTCAGTGCATTTCAAACAAGTTGTAGCACATGACAAGGATCAAGTCTTCATTTAATTTTTGCTTCTTCTATTTTTGAATATCAGGAGGCTATTAATGAGCTCTGACCAACATGAAATACAATTTCACATAATACTGGAGGTACTAAATACTAAAGGTGTAAAAGTTAAACATGTTCCAGTTCTGCATACATAAAATGTTTCTTCAAAATTCATACAACTTCATACATTAATTGAATTAATCTTAAGACTGAAGTGCTTGAAAAATGTTGTACATGAGGAGACTGTAAGAATGTATGTAAGAAAATAAGCAAACTTACTGATATGAGTTTGTATTTTTCCATTGCTTCATATCTTAAAGTATCTCAAAAAATCCCCAACAAAACAGGGGCAACCACATTGTATGTGGGAGAGAAAGAAGATAATTTACAACAATAATACTACACAAGTTAAGAGAAATATTACAAACCACTTTCTTCCTTTAAAACTGAAGCATCAATTTAGGAAAGAGATAATATGTAACCAAGTGTGAATTTGGTGACAATGCCAGAGTAATTACTTTAATCCTTGATAGAAGAGGCATAACCTTTCTGCTGTGTGATTAGAAGGGTACTCTAACTCTTCTCCATCAAACAATGGAGATACACATTCAATACTAATTTACTGTAGGGTAAAATTGTCAATCTTGTTACGTACCAACTGTACATCAGCTCCCAATGCCTGCATCTGTTTAGCAGGGGGAACCCTTATATGTTTTAGCAGAGTAACACTTCTTTTCCTATTATGTCTTTCTAAAAGTTTCCCAGCCCTATGTACTATGGTGATGCCAAGCACCAAGTCATCTTCTCTTGACAGATACCATGAATTTGGGAGGGTGGCAAGTGGTTGGGTCTGAGGTGGGAATTGCAATGATGTCTATCCCACCTGCTCCCTCTCACCACCATTGAGGCTGGGTCCTTTAGAGTTACAGCACAGACAAGTATGCAAAGGAACAAAGGAGAGATTTGCATTCTCTTATTTGTCATACCGATAAAGGCACTGATTGTGATTTTCATCTGGTACAGTCTAGCTGCCAGGTGCCAAAGTACACACACTGAAAGCTTTCTGCTAGTGAAGGCTTTGGCAATCATTGTTCTACAGACTGAATCCAGATAAGCAATGCTTGCATAAAATAAAGCAGCAAGACATGCCTTTTGCATCTGTTCTGATGAAACTAGCATCCAGTTGACAGGTCACAGCTACAGCAGTTTAGCTGAAAATCTGTTCTGGTTTTTTTGCACCCTCTCCCTGCTCTGCAATGCCTGGATTTATGTCACTTCCACCATTTCTGAGGTCTCTTTCCTCAGACTGCTGCTGGGGATAATTTGGGAGCTCAGATCACACAGCAACATTCAAAGGCACTTGCCAATTTCACAAGGATGCTGCACCATGACTCCTTGTGACCTTGAAAGCAGGTAAAAACAGACCTTTGGTAAGGGCTCCCAGCTTAACAGATCCATATTACTACTGAAGAAGCAAACACAGAGCAGGGCTCATGCCAAGCTTTTCCCCAGTCCCTAAGCATGGCATGCTTCCTCTTTGATGGTGCTCTTTTACCTGTGCTACTGGGAATGGGAGACCTAGTTGTGCTGCCCTTACCTGTCTAAATGTCCAACAAATAGAGCTGTAGGACTGAACTCCAGGAAATACAGATTTCATGTTTATGTTTTTCTGTTTCACTTTGCATGGGACTGACCCCTCAAATTTTTACAACTTTTAGGTATAGATGCAACATTTTGTATCTCACCCAAAATTACCAAATTTGACACATTGCTAATAACTCTCACTAAAAATCCCTAAAAAGACTCATGACACAATGGTGTTTTAGCATCAGCAAAGATGGGCTGCTGTGGGAGAGGCCCACTTTCCTAGTGATTTAAGATGTTTTAAAAGTGACATGGACTTATACAAGAACCCCTTATATTAGCTGAACTGCTTCTATAACAAACCTACAATTGTGTTTCATCTTTGATGAAATGAAATCTTCACAATTTTCAAACCATAATGCATGCGAAGAGGCAATATTTCTCATACTGCATAACTAATAATAATTGAAATATTTAAGATTACATTTTTTTAAGATATTTGTTTTTCTTATATACCTCCAGAAGGTCACCTACTATTAAAAAAAAAACCCAAACAAACAAACAAACAAACAACAAAAAAAAAAACCAGGCAAGGCAATGACATGTTTTAATCTACAGCAGCTGTGAATCTAAATTGAAATCCATGAAATTCACTTTAAATGTGAACCATTAAAATTCAGTTTACAGTTGGGATCCACTTCAGCTTCTCTTTTTTTTTAAATGTAATTATCTCATAGTGCTGCAAAATGAATTCCAACACAGGACCTGTGCAGAACAGTCAACAACAAAGATTCTTGTGACAAGAGAAGCGTGTGAGATACTGATATCATTTTGAGCATCACAGCATAGCACAAAGGTTTGATAACATTTTGGCACTAGAATGACACAACTACCAACAGATACACTGTTTTGCCACAGGACAAAAGACTCTTAGACTTAGAGACAAATTGTAAAATCCAGCCCTGATGTCAGGGCATGGGGCTCTCCTTTACCTGGATTTCTTGAATAGTGTCTTCCTCTTTAGTGTCTGTTTTTTTCTCTATTGCCTCTCCACGCAGCAAGGCTTCCAGAGTTGTACTTTCTGAGGTGAATCCATCTTTTTTCAGAGGCAGATCAACTTCTGAAAAACAAAACATACTCACTGTGTGTCTTCTCCCAACAGGCTAACAAGAAGGACAGAGATGTCAAGCAGATGATGAACAGACTTTTAAACTTGTTCCTGTCTGGAAGGGGAGCTCTTCAAGTTCATTTAACCTCTAAGAACTCCACTAACAATTAATTTCTATCCTACTGAAAACCTGGTGTCTTTTCATTTGCTGTGCTTGTTTACAGGAAAAAAAGGCTGGATATATTATATCAGGAGGAAATAAATGGGGAGGAAACCCCTCTTTTTTGTGTAAACTCCCTATGCTTTAAATAAAGAACAAAACCAGGACTTTTTAAGATACTAATGTAACAAATATGAAGACTGATCTCCTGAAGAAGAAAAGTAGTTTAATGCAATTTAGCATCTGGCACAGTTTATATAGCACAGCTTCAATCCTCATTCTCCTACACCAGGGCATGTTCCACATGTGGGAAAACAGAAAGCTTGTGTGGGAGGCCAATGCTGAGACCTTACACTGAAAAACAAAGAGACGTGTCTTGAATTTCCCCGTCACACTGACTAGATAAAATCTCCGGTTGGCTCTAGCTGGCAATACCAGCAAAGAAACCCAGTTATGAGTGCAGAATCTTGCTCATAAAATGGCACAACACCCAGTCACTGCAGGAAGAGCCACAGGCTGCCTTGGAAACAGGCTGGGGACAGAGCTCCAAAGACACTGGATTTATGAGGAAGTTTGATGCAACTTGCTGGAGAAGTGAAGGAACAGAACCTTATTCCCCTTTCAAATGCTGCCACTAGATTATGAGGCAATGCAGCAGACAGGCAAATACAGTATGTTAACTTTAGCAAGATGTTAAAATATACCTGGGAAATAATCTAGTTTTCCTTGTAGACCCTAGCCTCTACCCCACTCATACAGGGGCTCATTTAGAGCAATCCCCTGGCAGGGAAACATCCTGCACATGTCTTTACCTGACACTGCCAAGTATGGATTTCTAAAGTACTCCCTCCCTTCTAAAATGAATTCTTTTCTCTAGACAGGTATATTTACAAGTAATAATGTACAAGAATGATGCTTACAAATCAGCATCTGATGTCCTTAATTCACAGTTCTGTCTACTTATGCTTTAAGAACTGTGTTTTGTTCCCCAGTCTGCCTGAAGCTCCCTGCCTTTCTATCACAATGAGCTGTAAATTCTGCAGGACAGAAATTCATGTGTTTTTAAAGTTCCAAATCATTCCTGCAAACCAAATAATGAATGAGCACCTCCACCTGGGACAGTAAAGGATAATCTGTTTCTTGGGGGCTGTTGCATCCCAGGAATATGTTTGTTCTTTATATGAAAAATTTTCAGTTATCAAATGATTCAGCATCCCTGATTTGTACTTCCACAATGTACTTGCTCCAGTCTTCTGAAGTGGGAGAGCATTGCTCAGCCAATAACCACAGAAAATCCAGCAGAAATTCCAGAAAAAGCTATTCTATTCATGGAGGGAAAGGCTGGGTACAAACCATGCAGAAAAACCAAACCACTGGGATTTTAAAGGAAACTCCCAGGACAACCCACACAATGGGATGGGGTCAACTGTGAATTGATCCCCCTTCTCATCACAAGGAGCTCTATTCAATCAGGCCTCTGTTTTCAGCATTAAGCTCTGCATACGTATCCCATTATGGCCCCTTCCCCAACTTCTCCCTTGCTTGAGCTATAAAAAAGACAGAAAAGTCAAAAGAGAATTATACAGATTGAATTTCCCTGTATGAACGCCTAGTACCTCCCTCTGGATCCAGACATTTCAATAGAAAGAAGAGATTTTCGACGTGATTTATGTGCAAATCCCAATGCTTGAATCTGTAGTCACTGAGGAACCTCCATAATCATCTCTGGATGTGGGCTTGGCTTAGGTTCAAAGTCCTGTGCTTGGGTGCAAAAGGGCATTTGCTCTGTATTTAGAACCTTGAGGGACTGCAAACCCCAAGGGGTCATCATATATTCAGCAAGCAAAGAAGCTTCAAGCAAGCTCAAGGGCATTGGAAACAAACATGTCCTCACTGAGACAAGCTATGCCTGTCTCTGGATACCAATACATTCAGCAAAGGAATGCATTAGAAAAGGAAACGAGCAAGGAAAGGTTGAGGCATAAGTAGAACATATATGAAGGTGGAACTACACTCCATTTGTTCCAGAGATAGCAAAAACTAAGTTTGAAAAGAGGGAAAGGTAGGTTTTAAGGTCAAAACAGGCAGCTGTCTTTAATAGGCATGGTTGTTCTGTGTGGCATTGCTACTTCCCAACAACAACACTCAAGGAGGACTTTTCATCCAAAACTCTCAGAGCATTTTCTAATTACTAAATTTAACATCCCACTGACAAGGCGTTGTAAGGTAATATTTTTATTCACAGTTGATGGGGGGATTGAATCACCAAGAAGTTAGTGAGCTGGGCATCCAGGGAAAATAAACTCAGTCTCTGACACCCATTTCCCCACTAAGCTGACTGCCATTCAACTCCTTCATTTTTTTCCCCACTGGTAGCTTCCATGAATGCATTTTAATTCCTAAATAGCTCTAGAAAGTGGGAAAAAGCAGACACTGTCTTATCTAGAATGTAAAGTCTACAGCATAAAAACCTTCGGAGGTCCAAAGACAACCCTTCATAATGAATTCAGTCTCTATAATAAATCCAATTCTTCCTGAAGATGGTTAGTCTGTAAAGGGTACAGTAATGAAGACAGGAAATTATGTTTCCAAACCAGTTTTTGAACCCCCACAGATGAAAGTCTTCTAAAATCAAAAAGATACTTCAGTTTACCTACAGAAATAGTTAAACACTACCAGGGATCATTAAATTAATTTCACTAAATTCCTTATTTTCTCTTTCCTATTTAACTATCCATTATTTTCCCACAAAAGCAAGAGAAGTATCTTTTACTCTTGCACCAGTATCCTAAAGAAAACTGAGGAATCAACCCAAAACTGAAATTTAGTTTCCATGTGAAAGTCAAGGCCTTCCCCATACTACAGGAACTGCTGTTTTGAACTAAGATGGGGTCCGTTCCACTCACTGTCCTGCTTATGAAGGTACCAGCCAGTGCCTGAAGCTTCAAACAAGGCCAGAGGGAGACTTTTCTGGGCTTAAGAAATTAAGCTGTGACCCTGTGCTTACCTCTACTTTGATATTGCTCATGCCACCCTATGCAGTCACCTCACATGTTACTGTAGAAGCTATGAATGTCTGCCACGAGAGAAATGCAAAAGACCTTACCTACCCTAATACTGTGTTTCATCCTGAGAGATAAATACAGTATCCCCTCCAGTTATCCTAAATCTGGCTCTTCTGAGAATATACAGAATAGCCCAGCCCTTACTGAATTTGATACACTTTTACCTCGATGTTTTCCCACCTGATAGAGTTCAACAGTTTAACTATGGTTTGAAAGAAGGAGTGTTTGACTTTATCTGTTGCCCACCCCCTTGTTCTTACTGGGGAAAATAGAAGTTCTTGACCAAAATTTTTGTAATTTCTTTTAATTCCTCTCCTTCCAAGGATAAACAGTCACAATCTTTTCTATTACTCTGCTGTGGGAAGTTTTCCATATGGTCCTGACAAACCTCTCTGAACTTTCTCTTATTATACATCAGTCTTCCCAAGATACTGCATCTGGCATTTTCAGATGAAACCATATCCCCCATTTAAACAAATGAATTATGGTATTCTTTAGATTACTCCTCAGGCTGTGTCTTTCAATGGCCAAGTTACTTATTAAGCAGAAGAATTAGGAATCTTGTAATGGGGACAAGAACTTCCCATAAGGAATACATTCAAACACTCAGGTACCATATTATACTGCCTGTCCCACTGCCCACTCCCCAAGCACATTCACATCTCCCCAGAGTGCTCTGCAAAACCTTCCCGGCCATGATTGCTCTCAATAACTTCATAATATGTGCAAATCTTTGTAGTTGACAAGGTATTCCCACTCTGCAGCTTGTTCATTACTGTGTTACACAACACAGGACCATGCACTAAACGTTGATACACCAGCTGTAAGCCTTTATCTACTATGAAAGTTCTTTCTTCCATTATCTTTTATTCCAAAAGGTTTGATCCAAGACAATTCTTAGTTTCTCTTTGGAGACATACCAAAGGTCTTCAGAAAGTTTAAGAAAATTGTCAACCTATTAGTTTTTTACATATGATGTAAAGAATTTTAAGAAAGTAGTGAGGCATGCTTTTCTTTGGTAGGAAATATGTACTTGGTTAGAACCTCCTATATCATCATTTCCCAGGTGCTTTACTGCTTATATGTAATTACTGTTTCAATCAATTTCTCAGATGTTCATGTAGAATTTATGTGTCTTTAAATCTCTGAATCACATCCAAATCCTTTTTAAATATAGGTAATAGCATTTGCTACCCACTAATTGTTCTACATTCATTGTAACTTCTAGTTTGTATGACAAGCTCTGCTCCAAACATTAGCATTTCAGGGAACATAATCTTTATTACAAGTAATAACTACCAGTAAAGTCACTATAATTAAAAGCTTACTCTTTAATATGAAAATTTTAAGAAGGTTTGTAGATAAATTTCCTTTTGATTAGTACCACAAATACAATAGCACATGGTTAATGTAGCAGATACAAGAAGTAGTAAGAACTATACAAAATGGAAATGTCAAATCAATAAAAATCATCAATGAAAAAAACCCTGTTATTTAAGAATTCTTCCTGTTTTAGTAAACCATCATATTCTTGGTGTCACAGCTAAATATTGTGCATATATTATAATTCAAATGTGCGCGTGTGTGTGTGTGTGCATATAATTATAATTTATGTTTCTTAACTTGGCAGAGTCCCTTTCATAGTGATTAAATTAACATGGTTATTTCTGCTTACCAGCTCAGTGCAGCAACCTCTCTATTTATTAAGGTCCTGAGATTGCAGTGGTAGAATCTGAACAAGCACCCATGCCAGTATCATTCCTGTATCTGTTTTCCATTGAAATGCT